ATGAATGATAGACTTGGGTTTTCTGCGTTCTGTGCTGAATTGAGGACCCTCATAAAATAAATTGCACAGAACACTTATGAACAAATTATGGTACAGAGCATGTATGTCTAAAACATAAAGTTCCCTTACAACTGTTTATTGAATGGATAAATGAACTTTATTATTTTAATTTGTAAATAGTTTATTTTCAGGTACTACATTTTGCCATATAATGTGCACTTTTTGCCCAAATTTTTGAGGGAAAAATAAGGATGCACATTATACATGAGTAGTACAAATTCTGTATCTATATAAACATTTGTAATGCTTTTATTTATGCTTATGTGTTAAAAGTGTAACTCTAGAAAGCGATAATGATATCCATATGCAAGATAATACTCTGGAATATGATAATCAGCTTTGTTTCTAAATATAAATAAATAAATAATTGAATTAAAAAATTAAAACAAAATATTTTTTCTCTCAAAGTTTGGGCCAAAAACATGGGTATGTGCCACGTCCTCTTCAAACCATGTTGTCTGACAAGGTCCGGGCATGGAGGATTCAAGGAATTCGTCTCCCCGGAGGAGAACGTGGCATCCAAAATGTGTTAACAATTGGCTGCTTTATTTTAATTATTTTATTCTTGCTACTGAATATAGACATTGAACTGTACTTACTTATTCCTGTGAAAATCACCCAAGAGGAGGGAACAGTTCAGGGGAAAACATCAGTATTCCCCAAGGAACTGCCTGAAAGGATGGAAAAATCTCCACAGATTCCCCTCTCCCTTATGCAGGGGAGTACAACAGCCAGGGTAATATAGTTGTTAACCATAAGGGAAAACATGTCAAGTTGTATAAATTACCCTGGTTTGAGCAACTTAAAGCAATCAGGATTGCCATAGTGTACCAGAAATAAGAAAAACAAGTTACATGTTTGCTTGGGTGATCAAAAGGTGGTGGGATTGTTGGACACTTATATTTCAGGTTCATTGATTCGCACAATTCCAGTGAAACTGTACAAATTAATTCCTTGACCAGAGAACAAAGTTCCCTCTAATGAAATAGTCCCTGAATGTTTAAAAGTTGTTGGAGTAACAGCCCCTCCTTTACCTCAAATAAGAATATATATCAATTGGACAGGCAAAGAAATTAAAAAAGGGCTGGTTAACTATTACAAATTAAACATGTAGAAACAGTTACTAGAGAGTCAGTTTATAGTACACAGGGAAACATTTTAGACGGAAGAGGATAGCTAAGTTAGACATCACAAAGGCCTTATAATAAATTTCCTATTACCTCTACTCAATCTAGCATATCCTTTTGCCCCATGACAAATTCTGAGAAACTTTAATATACAGTTAAGACATTCAAATTCTGTACATACAGCTACTTCTAATTGTCTGATTAATGGCTCTCCTGGTCAAAATAATCTTTGTTTATTATAATTGAATGTATGGGAACTTTCATATTTTTCCTGGTTACCTTCGTATTGATTTTTTTTTCTGCTTAACTGATCATGCTATACTGCAAATGTTAATCACTGCCTAAAATGAAAATATAAAAACCTGCTTGTACTTGCAATAAATGGAACAGAGCTTCACTGTCCTTTGAGGCATGTTGTCGTCTGTTGCCCATTGCCGATGCCTTACCCACCTTTGGGACCCCTGGACCCTGCTGTGGCTGGACTGTGGCAGGTGTGCATTATGCATGACAAAATATGGGTATTTCTTCTTTTGTGACATATTGTTTATTGTAGTGGTGATTTATTCGATGAGTCCTTTGGCAGGAGCAAACTCCCAATTACAACCTTAGAAAACCAGAATCCACTTTATGATGATACCATTTACAACACAAAATCAGAAACACAGTGCAGTGACAAGTGGTCCCTGCTTATTATGTGTCTGTGATGGTAGGTTATGAATGAAGGTAATGATGAACACATATAGAGTTCAATACCTCATTAATACTAATAACCTAATGATATTTGTTATAGCTCAGATTCAGTTTATGTGATTATCAGAGTGTATGAAAGTGGATTAGCCCTGGCTGGTGTAGCTCAGTGGATTGAGCACCGGTTGTGAACTCGAAGGTCGCTGGTTCTATTCCCAGTTGGGGCACATGTCTGTGTTGTGGGCCAGGTCCCCAGGGGGGGGCCATGTGAGAGGTAACCGCACATTGATGTTTCTCTCTTTCTCTTTCTCTATCCCTTTCTCCCTCCCTTCCTGTCTCTCTAAAAATAAATAAGTAAAATGTTTTTAAAAAAGGAAAAAAAGAAAGTTGATTAAAATTTGTATGTATACAACCTGAAATTAATATATTATTGAATGTCAACTGTAATCAGAAAAGAATAAATTAAGAGACATTTAAGTATCGCGGCTGGATTCCCAGTCAGGGCACATGGGTTGCAGGCCAGTTCCCAGCAGGCGACACATGAGAGGCAAGCATACATTGATGTTTCTCTCCCTCCCTCCTTCCATTCCCCTCTAAAGATAAATAAATAAAATCTTTAAAAAATTAAAAAAAGAAGCCCTGGCTGGTGTAGCTCAGTGGATTGAGCACGGGCCTGTGAACCAGACAATCGCGGTTCGATTCCCAGTCAGGGCACATACCTGGGTTGCAGGCCGGTTCCCTGCAGGCCAGCTCCCAGCAGGGGATGCATGAAAGGCAACCATACATTGATGTTTCTCTCCCTCTCTCTTTCCCTTCCCCTCTAAAGATAAATAGATAAAAATCTTTTAAAAAAATTAAAAAAAGAAACATTTATGTACATGTACTGTATATCTGTTCCTGTGCATGTGCAATTTGTCATAGTTCAGATAACATTTAGTTTTTATAGAATTAAAAGTTAGCTGTTGTTTCTTTAAAAAAAGTTTTTACTTATTTATTTTTAGAGAGAGGGGAATGGAGGAAAGAGGGAGAGAAACATTGAAGGGTTGCATCTCACACACCCTCAACAGGTGACCTGGCCTGCAACCCAGGCACGTGCCCTGATGGGAATCAAACTGGTGATGCCCAGTCCTCGGAGCTACACCTGTTGTAGCTCAGAGGTAGTTGTCATTTCTGACATGGCAAATATTCAGCATAAAACTTTTTAATAAGTTTAAAATAAATGGGTTTCTCAAACCAAAAGTTTAAGAGATTAGGAAGTACATGTAGGTGTTAGTAATTTTGGGGTCCACCAAGAAAAATTTTCTTTATTAGTGGAATATTTACAGGGTCTGCCACAAATAAGCCCCTTTGTTAATATAAAATCTTTTATTACAAATTCCTAAGTATGTAATTTCATAACATAACATCACACTCAAGCACACTGTGACATTTTAGGTGAAATGTTCAAATTAAAACTGTAAATTATTACACTCATATTATTCCCCTACCAATCACACTTAAGCAGGCGTTAGTTCTGCCTGAGCTTGTAGCTGTTACATTGTGTTATGTATAGCTCTAATACAAATGATCTATTTCCATTCATCTTAAAATGCTTAATAGTAACTGTTCATTGCTGTTATAATGTATTGTTACAGGGCAGGCTCTCAGGGTGATGTGAGAGTTGCCTGGGGAGGAAAGCTCTTTGACAACAAGGTTGACACTGTAGCAGTAACCACAGTTTGGGGGCTGGGCTTCAGGTTTGCATGCTGATAAACAACATTCTGAAGATCTGGGAGGTGACTGATGATGGGAATGCATAGTCATGATGAGGTTGTTCAGAGGAGCCCGATGTGTAAACCAGAATGCCAATTTATAAATTTACAAACAATTGTTCACTGGATCTGATTTTAAAAATAGAAAAGTCTTTGTGAGTAGATCTTCTTGGGAAGCTAAATTACAATCAGAAGATTGTTGATACCAATGGAATCAAGGCAAGGGGAGTTAGTTGTACAATTCGAACGCATAGTGGCATTTGTTGTGATTGCTCCAAGGCCCATCCCTCCAATAGAGATTAGAGTATTTGCTCCCTGGAGGGACTGCTGTGTTCGTTTCAGAGATCAGGGCACATCTACCCCAATGCCTGGGGGCACTGCCTGTTTCCGCATTGTTTGCTGATGAAAAGCCTTGGTTCACTCTCTTTTCTAAAACACATGAGTAAAATCTGTTTCTTTAGCTGTTATCTCTTGCATCAGATTAGTCTTCCCTTGCTGGACTATGGGTCATTCTATCAGTCAAGGACATTGCCTCTCTTGATTTGTAGCTTGTTGAATAGGTATTGGGGTGAGGCAAGGGATGGCAACCTGGAGAATAATTCTATGAGGGCACTCATTATGGCCAGTGAATATGGTTGCTGGAAATACAGGATATCCTAATTAAATTCAGATAACAAATTTTCCGCCGTGTGCGTGTAAAATTCATATTTAACTGGATGTCCTGTATTTTTATTTGTTACACTTGGGAAGCCCAGGGGTACATTTACATGAGAATAGAAGGTTAGCCTGAGTTCATGCAGGTCCGTAAGCACGCATCTATTCCGTGGTCTCAGAGAACAAATATCCTTTTGCAGTAAAAAAACTGTTTAGGCGAATAGCAGGTTTCAAGGAAACACGAAAGAATGTTGATCTTTTGAGGAATCCGTAATGACGACAATGCCATAAATAGTACTTTGATTCCTCCGCCTCTCCATTCTTCTGTTCCTGCAACTAGAATGATTGCGGTATTTCTTCTTCCCTTTCAAGTCCCGCCCTTTCAGCTACCCGCTCCGGAGAGCAATCAGTTGCCCAAAAAGGGCCAGCAAAACCGCCGACGTGTTCAGAGGAGCGGAAGTAGTCAAATTTCACTGAGAACCGTAAAGTGCGGCTGCCTGTCTCTCTTTCCGGAGGACTACAGCTCCGTTTGTCGGTGCTGGCCTTCCTCCTGTAAGGGGAGCTGCTGGACCCTTGATAATTCGAGTTTTTTCCCCATTCCAGGCCCTTCCCTATCGTCGCCCCCTTCACCTTGGATCATGTTCAAGAAGTAAGGACATGCTGTGGCCTCCATCCGCTGCTCACAAAGGTGGTGGGGGTGGGGGTGGGGAAGAGGGCGAGAGCAAAGATCCTCTTTCTCTCTCCCCCACCCCTGCCATCCTTAATCCCCAAGGTTTTCTGTAGTATACTATATACTCTCACTTGCATCTTGCAGCACCTCTCTCAGCTTTCCATCCCTAATCCTCGGTCGGGTTTTGGCTCTACCACCTTTATTTTCTGTATCTTTACCCCTCTTTCTCCTTTGCCCGCCTCCGATCCCGCAATCCTATCTCCATTTCTAGGGTTCGACCAAACACATCCTTGCACTGTAATTTAGTCGTATATCCTCTTTATCTAAGAGGAGAACCCTGCACTCGCTGCCATATGTTTATTAGTTATGAACTGAATAACGGAAGGCTTGACTTCCTGGGTCATGGGAGTGAAGGAGTCTGGGTGACAGGAAGCAAGCGGGCTGTCATGCCTATTGCCTAGCTGCCAGATTAAAACAGCGTGATTGCCCCACAGGCTGGCTATTCAGTGTAAAGAAGACAAAAATTCCTTGGGAACCTACCTAGTAGATTTTCCTTGCAGATTTGGTAGACGCAAAAAGCAAAGGGGAAACATGGGCAAAGGAAGGTGGGTTTTGTTCATGACATTTTGAGCGAAAATGAGTAGGGACTTTAGAAATCATCATCCTCAATTGAAAAACATCTCAGTACATTCTATAGCCTAGCAGGGACCGATTTTCTGTGTTATATTTAGGTTGGTCTTCTGTATCTCACAGCTTGAGAACTCTTTTGTTTTGACTTGCTTTTGTTTTCCACACAGGTTTTGTTATAGGAACAAATCTCTGTTTCTTCCTGTTCTTCCTGGGTAGGGATGAATAAGATTTTCCAGAAAAGGCATTTGTATAGCTGATTACAGATTATAATGTGAAATATGCCTCATATCCTCCCTCCCAGCTAATTGTGTATGTATAACACTTTATTTAATATTGTAGTAAGACATTGGTTGTGCAAGACAGAAAGAATAAAAGGTAAATGGTATTTTTAGAAACTATTTCATTATTATTTCAAGCATCTGAATTCTTGCTTGGGAATAGATGACTAATGAAAACACTACCTTTAGCTGTTCTGATATGTCTACTTAAAAATGCCTTTTTTTTCTTCCAAAAATAATTTGGCAGATTTGATGAAAAAGAAAATGTGTCCAACTGCATCCAGTTGAAAACCTCAGTTATAAAGGGTATTAAGAACCAACTGATAGAGCAATTTCCAGGTATTGAACCATGGCTTAATCAAATCATGCCTAAGAAAGATCCTGTCAAAATAGTGCGATGGTAAGTCTTTACTTTTCTCTATGTAAAGCTCAGAGTAAGTAGCTGAGTAATTAGACTGCACTCACAATAAATGGAATTATTTTCACATTAACTGTTGATAGATTATGGAAGTAGATAAATAGAGTAAGTAAAACTAAGCAATATTTCTGTTTTCAAATGTTTTCCTGTTTCTTAAAAATGGCTTTATATACTGATTGCTTTATCAGACTTAAATGTTTTTATTTAGAATTAATTTCTTTCCATTGTACTTTAGAGATTTCTTCTATTGAATTATGTAACAATGATGAAAATAATAACATGAAGTAAAATTGATTGTAGCAGCTCAGATTTTTTCTTTTTTCTTTTCTCTACTGGACTAGTATGGTATGTAAAACAGTTTAAACAGGGTTTTTTTTATGGGCCTGGATCTTGGTTGAAATTTTTTATTTTACAAAAATATTTACTTATTTATTTATTTTGAGAGAGGGGAAGGGAGGGAGAAACAGAGGGAGAAAAACATCAATGTGTGGTTGCCTCTCACATGGGCCCCACTGGGGACCTGGCCTGCAACCCAGGCATGTGTCCTGACTAGGAATCAAACTGGGGGGACCCTTTGGTTCACAGGCCAGCACTCAATCCGCTGAGCCGTATCGGCCAGGGCTTTACTGAATCTCTGTATATGCATGTTTTATATTTTACATTATTTAAAGACTATTTGGCATGTTCATTTTTGAAAGAAACTATCTAACTTGGTACTTTGTGACATTTGTCTTACAGCCATGAACATATAGAGATCCTTACAGTAAATGGAGAGTTACTGTTTTTTAGACAAAGAGAAGGGCCTTTTTATCCAACCCTAAGATTACTTCACAAATGTAAGTCTTGTTAGAAAATAATGTATTTGAGGATATGGAAAGACCCAGAAGGAGCTGAAAATGATATCTCGTCATTAACTTATTTGTTAGTAGTAGGTAATATGGAATATAAAAAATGAATTCCCATTTTGTGGTAAATCTGAAAAATGCAGATTCTCTCATGCATTCCTGAAAGCCCAAGAAACAACATTCATTCATTCATTCATTCATTCATTCATTCATTCATTCATTCAACACATACTGAACTTAATATGTGCTATGCACTGAGCTAGGTACTCAGAATATGATGGAAAGCAAAGACAGACATGGTCCCTGTCCCTGTGAAACTAAGAGTCTAGTTGGAAGAGTAGACAATTAGTTAATTGCACAAGTGTATATTCACACACTGTGACAAGTGTTGTGAGTAATTCTTTTAAATTTATATCTAGATTTGCCTCCCAGAGGTAATTCTGTGTAAGGGTGTTGGAGTCAGTTATTGTCCATTGAGTATCAAGTGTTATGAAACAAAATAATGTTTATTATGTACCCACTTTTGCATGTTGTTAGACTGAGTACATTGCAAAAGGAAATCCAAAGGACGATAAAAATCCCTGTGCCAAAGAATGTATAACTGTGAAGTAGAACTGCTTCTCAAACCAGTATGTTTACCTGGCCTAGCCAAGAGTCAGAATGGCAGGGAGTGACTGGAGAGTTCTTCTGTAGGTGGTATTGGTGACTGAATGAGTTTTATTTTTGGTAAAAGTAGATACATTTTTAATTACTTGTTGAAGCAGAGATTTGGAGCACTACAGCTGTTAGGCAAGTCTTGAAAGATGTGAAACACTTTAATATTTCTAAAGGAATATTTATAATTATTTGATTAAGTATTGATTTCATGAAGTTAGAAGACTATGATATGGACAGAAACTGAGTCCTAGTGCAAATAAAAATATTTTGGTGACATTAAGACATTTTAGTGACATTAATTTCGACTCAACTAAGAGAACAGAGACAAAATAATCAATTGTATTGCATGAATCTACTTTGGATCCTGGTTTGAAAAACAAAATTCAAGCCCTCCTCCTCCCTGCCGAAAAAGATATAAAAGACTTTCTTGGAACTATTGAGGGAAATTAGCATATGGTTTGGTTATAGTACGATATTGTAGAAATGTTATTAAGTTTGTGGACATGATAATACTGTTGTGGTTATATAGGAGAATGACTTTATTCTCAGGTGGTATGTGCTCATTATGGTGAAGCATTATGTCTGAAATTTAAAATAGTATAGGAAAAATATGTGTGTTTAACTAGAAAGAGATAACGCAAATGTAACCAATTGTTAATGAACAATGGTTGAAACTAAGTACATAGTGTCCAAGGTGTTCATTGAACTATTCTTCCCAGTTTTTCCATATGTTAAGTATTATCTTAATAAGTTGGAAGAAAGAGATGTTCCAATTTAGTAGTATTTTTCTGGGAACCACCTTTTAGAACATCTTAAAGTTATTGTACAAGAAGCAGGATAATATGGTGGTTAAAAGCATAAACTTGGAGTTAGGCAGACCTGGGTTCAGTTCCCAGTGCATGTCATTTTTGTCAGATCATTCAATCAATTTAAACCTTATTTCTTTATCTTTTAAAATGGACATAGTTGTATGTCCATTTTAAGTCTCCCAGAGTGGTGAGGATTAAGTGAGATAGTCATGTACTGTACCTGACACAATGCCTGCAACACAGTAAGTGCTCACTAGATGATACCCATTATAATAATGTAGTAGCTGTTTAAACAATGCCCACTATTACCACAGTTGTCATCATCATTATTAATAAGGGGCAGCTATTAATGAGGATGGAAATCTAGAAAACAAATTGTGGCTTATGAATATTAAGCGTATTCATTCAGGTTCCTCTTTAACAACAGTAAGTTGTTTAAATTAATTTGGAGTCTTGGTAGGGAAAAAGACTTATGTGTTATCTGATGAGTTGGAGGGCTAATGGTAAAACATTAAAGTGAATAAATTTTACCAATTGTTATTGGCATTATTCCTGAAGAACCCGGAGAGGCCTAAGAAGTTTTTTTCTCCCAGGCATTGTTTTAAATCCTCCTGGGATCCTTTAATTGTTAGGTTATGAATTATTTGCAGACACACATACACACAAAAATATTTTTAAGATTACAAAAGGAATATGTGTTGATTCTAGAGATTTGGAAAATATAGAAATAAAATCACCTGTACTCCCTTGACCTATTATTGACCATTGTTAATATATCAGTGTACTTCCATCCAATTCTTTCCTGTGCTGTGTATGTCTGTGTAAATGTATATATTTTTGCTCTTTCAATTGGGCTCTCTATAGTTTTTTTTAAATTATTACATATGTTTTAGAGCAGTTTTAGGTTTACAGAAAAAAATGAGCAAAAAGTAAAGAGTTCCCATATACTCACCATTCCCTTATTACTAATATCTTGCATTGATGTGATATATTTGTTACAATTGATGAACCAATATTGATACATTATTAATAACCAAAGACCATTGTTTACATTAGGGTTCATTTTTTGTGTTGTACATTCTGTGGGTTTTGTCAAATGCATAATATTCACTTTACTATCATACAGAATAGTGTACTATCATACAGAATAGTTAAACTATCATACAGAATAGGATGTTTCAGTTCACTAAACATCCTCTATGCTTCACCTATTTATTTCTCTCTCCCTGATGGACCCATAGAAACCACTGATATTTTCGGTTAATTTCTATTGTTTTTTTCTTAACATTAGATAATGAACATTCTCCAAGATAATTATGTGTTCTTCAAAAACATGGCTCTAGTATATAGATATTGTTGATACACCTTAAGTCATTTACTTCTTACTTTAGTGTTAGACATTTAAGTTGATTCCACTTTTTTCTATTATAAATATTAGTGCTGCATTGAATATCTCTCTACCTAAATATATCATTATGTCTTTCATTTTTTTCTTAGGATAAAGTCTTAAAAGTAGAATTACTGAGTCAGAGAGTTTGAAACTTTTCAAGGCTGTTGATACATGTTGCCAAGTTGTCCTACAGAAAGGTTGTATTCACTTATAAGCCTTCTTGCAGTATATGGGAATGGCAGTTTTCCTGCACTATTGCTAGCACTGGAAAGAACTTTTCTTTAAAATATTTACTAATTTGATAAGTAAAAGATTATATTTGAGTTTTATTTTGCATCTGTGAGAGTACTGTAATTTTAGAAAATATTTGTTCATGTTCTTTGCCTTTTGTTCTGGTAAGTCATTACTCTTATTAATTTATGTAATGTATTCCTTTTCTTCTAGATCCCTTTATCCTGCCACACCAGCAGGTTGATAAAGGAGCCATCAAATTTGTACTCAGTGGAGCAAATATCATGTGTCCAGGCTTAACTTCTCCTGGAGCTAAACTTTACCCTGCTGCAGCAGATACGATTGTTGTATCCTTCTCAGGCTATAATACTGGAAAAAAATGTATTCATGTTATTAGTAGAAAGATCTATCATCCAAAGGAACATTAGGTGTACTTTTTGGGAGGTTACTGTTACTATTATATCATGCCTTTCTGGTTATATTTGAAGATGTGGGAAGTAACATCATTTCTTGAGGCTAAATTGTGACCTATCTTAGAAGTTAATGAGAACAAGTAATCAAAGAGTCCTAGCTGCATTTCAGCTCACTGAGGACCTAATGTTATCAGATTCAGGACACAGTGTAAAACTCTTGGTTATTAATGGAGAGGATATATCTGATACGATTGGATAACTTCTTTGAACATTAGCTTGCTACATTTACGTGTGACTTACCCAGATACACTGGAGTAAAAGCACTCAAAAGGGAAAACAACTTGGGTACCAGGTAGAGAGTTAGAAGTGAGTAGTGGGAGATGTTGGCAATTCTCCATTTTTATTATAAAGTTAATTTTAAGTTGGTTGTTTGGGCCTCAGAACATGATTTCTCAAAGAGAAATGTTAAAGTCCCACATAGTCCTTAATGATCTATTCAACTCGTGATATAGCTGAACAATTATGCATTATTTCCATTTCTATGGGGCTCTTTCAGCTATATTCTAGATTAAGTTGGTTTTTGCCAACCAGTTTGGACAGGAGACCATCTTATTTGTCATAAAGTGCCCATTTCCCTAAAGGTGAGAAAAAAAAAAACATACTTGGTCGGAATGGGGAAATTACTGTGGAGTGGAAGGCCATTGGAATGAGCTCAGGAATGTGTCCTGTGCGTAAAAGGAGGCTGTCCTCTGTTGTGGCAGTTATATCTGAGGGCTAGGATAAGCTGTATGTTTATATCTTAGGAAGATTTTGTATTCACATAGATACTGCTTGCATACGAAGTACTCAAATTCATTTGTGGAAATATTGAATGAATGAATTGAAAATCAGCAGAGAAAAGTATTCTGTAAAAATAGGTTACCTTTTAAGGTTTATGAATTTTCTTAGTGTTGTAAGTTTTTAGTTCTGAAGTTCCTTTAAATGGAAATTTTCCCTAGTACCTAGCCTTTACTTTTAAAACAATTTTTATTTTAAAATCATTATAGGCCTTTATTTTAAAATCATTATAGACTTGTTAAAGTTGCAAAGCTAGTACAAAGAGTTACTCTGTATCCTTGAACCTTTACTTTTAAAAATATGTACTGCACTTTGTAACATTCTAGATGGGTCAAATGATAACCAAGAATGTTCTGAATGTTCTAGACAGGTTGACATTAACATTGGGCTCTTAAAGAGATTAGAAATATAATCATTGTTTTACTGAATCTTTTAGATCAGACCACCATTCAGTTATTAAAATACTAGAAAAATGGATATTTATTTCACAGTTTTTAATATGTGAAAGAAATTTTATTTCCTTTTTGTATGACTTAATCTGGTTTTCTTGGCGTTCGGTTATAGAATTAACATTTGACTTAAAAACCAAGAATGATTATTAGATTCACTCAGTTAGCATTTATTGAGTATTCACAGTACGCCCATATATTTTTGCTAAGTCCCTGCCCTCAAGGAGTTGATGGTGTAGGCAGGGATATAAGATGGGTTCAAAGTGGCTTAACTGGTAATTATTTGACACCCCCTCTCCAAGGCATTTTGATAAACAGTTCTTAACTGTGTGTTTTAAGGCCATCATGGCAGAAGGAAAACAGCATGCTCTGTGTGTTGGAGTCATGAAGATGTCTGCAGAAGATATGTAAGTCTCATGTTAGCCCCCTTAGCTTTTGAGATATGAGTAACCTACGCAGGAAGCATCAGAATTACAGGTGAAATTTGCTCACATTCAAACCACACCTTACAAATATGTATGCCCAGAAGCCTCATTTCTGATTTTTCCTAGCACTTAGGGAGCCAGTGAAACATATTACTTGCATTCTTTCTTAAACACTCTGAAAAGAACCCGTGTGCCAATATAGCTGTTTTATATGTATGGGGCATTTTAGGAATTTTTAATTTAGTATGATTTAAATTGAGTGGAGGGAAAGATGTTTTGCTACTAATTTTTATTTGTTATTTTTAAAAGATTTTATTTATTTTTAAAAAGGGAAATGGAGGGAGAAAGAGAAAGAAACATCAATCTGTGATCGATGTCTAAGAGGAACATTGATTGGTTGCCAACTGGGGACCTGACCTTCAACCCAGGCATGTGACCTGGCCAGAAATGGAACTGGAAACCTTTCTTTTTGCAGGCCAGCACTCAGTCCTCCAAGCCACAACAGCCAGGGCATTTGCTACTAATTCTTATTTATTTATTTATTTATTTATTTAAATTGTTGTTCAAGTACCGTTTTCTGCTTTTTACTCCCATCCCAGCCCACCCCACCAACCCTCCCCACCTCCCTTCCATTTCCACCCACTAATTTTTAAAACGGTGACATAGTTTGGCACTACAAAACATTTTTTTTATATTTTGACCTGGTGATATAAAATATTAAGGGACTATTAAAGATACATTATCAAAATGTAGTAAATATATTTAAAATTTTTGAAACTCATTTGAAGACAACATTATTCCTATTAATTTTGTTTGAGGCTTACTTATAACGCTTTGATGTTCTGATATGGTGACACATTATTACTTTGTTTCTATAGATTCACTAGTTAGATCACTAGAGTCACTTTAAGATATGAACTGCCCCAGAGTAATGTAGTTTAATGTAGACAGTAATGTGAGTATAATATAAACAAATTCCCTACATGTAGCTCATTAACTACAAAACAGCTATGCACGTTGAATTATATGTACCATGTACCATGACTAAGCCTATAAAAATGCAAAACAATATATTTATGTGTTTTTTTCCTTCTCTAGTGAGAAAGTCAACAAAGGAATTGGCATTGAAAATATCCATTATTTAAATGATGGGCTGTGGCATATGAAGACATATAAATGAGCATCAGAAAGAATGCACTTTGACTAATATGGATATTGTGCTGTATCTGTGTTTGTGTCTGTATATGACATCATGAAGACAGTGCTTCTTTGATTATGCTGAATAAATTCAACAGATGCTAAAATTCTGTTAGCTTAAAAAATCATTTTAGTTTTTCTTAAACTGGAGTTCAAGTTGGGTAACAAACTTGGACATTAAAAGGTATCTGGTAAGTAACCAAACTCAAGACGGCTTCATGTCCTTTTTTAGGCTAATGATAAAGGAACTTGCCAGTATGTGGCTGACCCCCCCCCCGCCCCCCAGAGATTCTGACAAGTTTGGGGGAATTTTTATCCCATTACCCCAGGGCACCTAGAAGTGCCCCTTCTCTTTTGTGTGTGTTGTTTGTTTGTTGTTGTTTTTCAATTTTTCATTATGGAAAATTCCAAACATATACAAAAGTATGGGAAGAATAGTATAATGTGCCTTTTCTGTATCCATCACCTAGCTTCAGTTTATGGCCAGTCTTATTTCATCTATATCTCACTTATTCCTTCCTACTCTGCTCCTTAATTATTTTGAATAAAATCTCAGATATATAATTTTATCCATAATTACTTTAATATGTATCTTCAAAAGATAAGTGGTTTTATTTTTATAAAAAACATAACCCCAATATTATCACATCTAAAAAATTAATTTTTTAATATGAGCAAATATCTGGACTATGTCCAAATATGTGACAGGTGTACTTGATCGTCTCTTTCTTAACTTGGTTTGCTTGAAATAGGTACCAAAGTCCATTTATTGTATTTGATTGTTATTTATTTAAATCTCCTTTTTAAAAAAATATTTATTTATTTATAGTGAGAGGGGAAGGGAAGGAGAAAGAGAGGGAGAGAAATATCAGTGTGTGGTTGCCTCTTGCACACCCCATCCTGGGGACTTGGCTTGCAACCTAGGCATATGCCCTGGCTGGGAATTGAACCTTTGACCCTTTGGTTCATAGTCCAGTGCTCAATCCCACTGAGCCACACCAGCCAGGGCTAAATCTCTTTTAATTAGTAAGTTCTCCCTCCTTCTCTTCCTCTTTAAGATATTGAGTTGTTTTCTCTTACACAATTTCGTCTGACGTTCCGGATTTTGTCAATTATATCACTGTAAAGTAATTTAACTTATTGTTTTTGCCCCTTGTCTAGTCTATAAACAGATAAGCTTAATCAGATTCAGGTTCCATCCACTTAGTGCTCTCTCTTGAAAGTATATAGATGCCCTGAACTTCCAGATTTGGGTCCCCACTGTATTCTTCAAAGAATGTGTATCTCCTGTCATAAGTGGCATAGAAGGACCATAGACCTACCTCAGTAAAATCAGTAAGCAGTTTTGGGAGTTATATGAGCAGTTATGAACCTATACAGTGATAATGGACTTTTTTTTTCCCTGATAATCTTGCTGTCATTCTAGTGTCTCAGACATCTTTACTTGGTTGTTTATGAATATGTGACATGTGGTTTTATTTTTCAGATGGATAAAGACATTTACAATATTGTGGTGACCTGTGTTACAGTTAGAAGTTGGTGAGAAAGGTGAGGGACAGTAAAAAGAGAGAGAGCATTTAGCTGGCTGTTGTAGCTGGGCCGCCCAAAGTGTAACACCAGGGTCTGACTCTCAGAGTGAGAAACAATTTCCCACTAATGAAATTTGTAAGAGTTTCATGTTAGAATGTAGATGTATTAATTTATAGTGATAAGTCTGCTAAGGGGAAACAATTAGTATACTAGAAATTTCTTGGTGAACATGGGTGAACAAAAAGCAAAGGAAGGTTGATAATCTGGGGAAATATTTCATCTGAGCTGGCGCAATGTTTGGAGAGGTTTTCCTGTTTCGTCATCAATTAGAATTCTTGTCTGCCATACTCTTTGTTTCCCGGCCTAGAGAGGCACCCTAATATTTTATTTCCTCTACTTTTTAAGTTCTCTGTTGAATATGTTCCTTTGTTATGAAAGTTACATTTTATAGTCTTCCATATTGTTATATTTTATTATGCCTGTTGGATACAAGTATAAATAATGTTATTAGTAATACATTTATAAACTATCTCTCAGAATAGGTTTCTTCAACAGATAAATCTCATTTTATGCTGATTTACCAGTGTGAAATTCAGAGATCTCCCCATTTGGGGGAGGAGGGACTGTATTTGGGGCCTATAGCTCATTGTATTCTTAGAAAGAGAAGATGTGAGTCATTAGTGTCAAAACTAAACTTTGAAACTTTATTTTTGGTGCTAAGATAATTTTAATTGACCAAGATTGCCTATGGAGTGTTAGTAATGAAAAACAAAGCATACACATAATATTAGAGAAATTAAAATATTTTATTGCTTTGGTTTCTGAAATAATTTATCCTTATTTCTAACCACTGTTATGGTGGGTGTAGGGAATACTTTTTACATATTCAACATCAGCATCTGTGCTTGTTTTTCTGTTGTGCTGAGGGGCATTGCGTTGCCTTGGTGATATGGACTAAATGTGTATTGTTTCCTGCTTCCCCAGGGCCTGAGGCCTCAGGTCATGGGTGTTAATCAGGTTAAACTAGGGAGCCTTATCAGTTTCTAAACATTAGGTCATGCAGGGAATCCAATTCAAATAGGTTAAACTAACAGATATGTAAGCCTCTTGAGGCACTCTTCTTAAAGGAAATCTAGTTTATCCACATTCCTGAGAATAGGAATATAGGGAGACCCTGTTTTCATTCAGGCGATGTGTCTTCAGTTCATTTTTAGTCTTAAAATTAATTTTACGTCAAGTCAACCTACAGTCTAGCCATTTCTTTATATCTGACACACTTTTACTTAGGCTAGGTCAGTTCAACTCAATGGACATTTATTGAATATGTCCTAGGTTCTGGGTGATGTGGCACAAAGTTGAATAGTACACAAGCGGCCTTTTCCCTTAAGGAGTTTCCAAGTCTACTGAGTAAATTTACATGTTAAAAAATAAATCTGGGTAGTGGTGGTAGCCCAATACCAATACCAATTTATAAAGTCAGTAGGAAGTTACTAATAGTTTTCTAATTTTAGACATCAGAATCTGTAAGTTACACATGAACCAAATATAAAAGTGTTCCTTCAGTTGTATTCAATGTGAGAAGGTTAAAACAAATCCAGATGCCTTGGAGTTTCAACAGTTCACAATTCCAACTCAGATAGTTGTCCCATTGTGCATTAATATAAAGGACTGATGAACGGTTTTCTAATCAGACTATCTATTATAGTGGTTTGGTGGTATTGTGTTGGCTGCTGCATTTTTCCTTTTTTTTAATATTCTGGACCCAAAACAGGCAGCTGGATTTATCCCAGAAGTAGTCACAAACATTTCAGTTTGAGGTATCTGCTAGACCCCCAAATACAAGAGCATAGCATTTGTCAGATAATAATATCCACCCAAGCTCCTTCTCTATGTACACATTAGCTACTGAGGATACATTATTTCTAAACATAGTACTTCAGAAAACTATATAAAATAATGCCAAATAACTAAATTTGCAGAGGTATTTAATTATAATATTTTACTTTTTCATTTTGAGAATGTTAATAGGACTATAAATGAATGTGTACCCAAACAAAGGGTAACTGTGTTAACTTTGTTTATCTAAGTTCCTTAATGTTGGGACTATATCTCTCAAGACTTCAGGAAACTCAAAATGTTCCAATTTCTAAGGGAATATCCAGTAAAACTGACTTATAATGAAAGGCAAAAAATGAAAATATATGCATGCTATGTCAGTATAACCATCACTTCTGAAGTTTCAAGCAATCAAAAACTTATTCAGGTTATTCAATAACTTGTAAGAATTGGGCCACTGCAATATATATTTTAAAGTCTTTCAGAACACTTATGTTTAGTGTGTTATTAACTATATTAAGGCAGTAAAAACTAAATATAATTGTATTCTCAATATCCGAGTCAGCAATATTTCCTAATGAAATCATGCCTGTCAACATGGAGACTGACACATGTAAATGTATTCTTTGTCTTAAATGTTTTTATACTTTGTATACTTTATCATACTTTTCATAGCAGGTGAAAGAGTAGCTATAATGAACTATAATACTGATTTGTTTGCTATTGTATTTAAACTAATTGAGTACTTGTAAAGGACTCTAATGCCATCAGAACAGGAGTGAATGAACAAGATTGAAAACCAGTTTTTAAGTGTGTTGAGACTACAAGGCAGGCTGGTTGCTTGGTTGAAGAGGCTGGCCCTCTTGGAGAATATAATTTATGTATGGAAAGAGATATGGGAAATGACTTACTGGAATTTTCTCCTAATATCACATTCATTAGAACAGGTTATGGGGAAGAAAAATTGATAAAAACATATAAACTAATTAGTACTATTAAATTAGTGAAAAATTAAAGAACATCACATTTTATTCTTAAACACTTTGAGAAATAAAACATCAATTAGTGAAATAGTTTCTACTGAAAACTAATTGTTACAGAGAATGACATGCCTCTCACTATTGTGCAATGTTAACTAAGTACTTATACACTTAAAAAATCGCATTTTAAAAGTCAAACAAATCATGATTTCCACATCATAATTTTATTCCTTTTCTTGTTCCAATTTTAAAATACTTTAATTTCAGCACATATGTGAATATACTCGTAGTAGACTTCTAAGGCATATTCATTTAATGCACTCCTTTCAAGCTCATTGTAAGTATTCTCATAACTCTACCATACTCATAAATTTAAAACATACAAAGATTTACTTTTCATTCCTTCTAATTTTATTTTATCATAAGACTTGATATCCAATGATAGCTATTAACTTTTTTCTATGTTGATATAATCTGATTTTCACAAGCATAACTGGAAAAGACTGGATTTTAAACAGTAAATCATTTGTTTTAACTAAGCATTTGCTTGGAAAAAGTGCCACTTCTCCAAGCATATGCCTGAAAAACAAATCAAATATCCTTGGGAAAGCTATTGGGGAGACTTTTGAGGTCAGGCAATTTATTTAAATTCTTACCAACTTCTGTTTCAAAATGGGATACTTTCTGTCTTTGTCCCTAAATCCTGGGGTTGTCCTTCCAAGCCAATGATGCACGATGAAGCCCTGAGTCTTGGAGACTTGAACACCAGTAAGATGACTTTGTGATGAAACTGCATGTTAGAGTAATACTGTCTATTAATAGTCCTTGAATGAGCTTAAATTTAAGAAAACCTTTAAAAGTGCATACACTTTCTTTTAGTTTTGCTTCCCTGTCAGTGGGGCTTGAAATTTTTATTTCTGCTTATTGACATTTTAACCAAATTTACCGAAAGATTTCATATATGCTTGTTACCATGGATACTGTTTTCACCAGTTCTAATGCTGCCACACTGAAAATTCAGTTTTAAAGACAAAGTCCACTGTTCACTGACACATCTGGACTAGATTGGGCAAGGTAAGAAGGATGGGGGAAGTCCTTTTTATCATGTATGCTCTGGACAGATTTTTTTAGAGTTGACTTATCCAAGATTAGGAAAAAGTATGCTTTTGGATGACTAAGATTATTCTAAACTTTGCTTGGGTTAAGCATTTTATATTTAAGAAAGTTCAACCTGAAAAGTATTTGAATATAGAGGCAGAAAGCTTCATTTAGTGGGATTACAGCAATCTATAACCCATCAAATTAATATCTATCTTTTCAATAGCTTTGAAAAAGCAGATGACCAGAAAACATTTTTTACTGCAGTGCTTTGTTCTGTTTTAAAAATAATAGGGGTTTGTGCTTGCTTCAGCAGCACATATAATAATAAAAATAGCAGGGGCTAAAATGTAGTAAAAACTTGGACACTTATCCTGTACTTATGCTGTTTTACAAGCTAAAATGTTTGTTTTGTAAAATGTTTTAAAAGGAGTCCACAAAGTAACTTCACTTCTTCCAACTGCAGAGGTCTGAGAGAAGGCACTTGGCCTCATTAGCTTCTGGGTGTTGTCAATCCCAATGCTTTCTCAGGAACTAAATGCCCAGGTACATTCACTTGGGATGCAGGAGTCTCACTCAACCAGTGTTTTTTTGCCAACATAAAGAGAAACATCTTGATTAAAGTGTGAGGGGACAGAAACCATACCGATCTGGGCAATTTTTGCTCCCGTGATGTCTAATTTATTGTGAAAGGGGAACATGTTCTAAGTTAATGTTCTTAAAAGCAACTTCTGAACTTTTCCTTAAAAAGATTTACTTTATTAAAAAAGATGTTTGAGGAAGAGCTATTTTATTACACGACACAGATTAAATGTTCAGATGTTATTTGAAACTATTAATTAAGGCATTCCCTCGTGAATTTGAATATTCAATACCAGCTGTTATTCACATCAATATTTTAATATTTTACCATCAAGATATTTAATGAAAAGGATTGGTACATATTTAACTGTTTAAAGTAGTAAGAGGGAAAGAGAAATAACATTAAACTTGTAAGAAGGAAAGAGAAATAACATTCCCTGAGTTATATGCAGGGAACCTACAATATGCAGAAGTTCTACTTCCATATCTTGCTTAATTTTTATGATGAGTCCATGAGGTAGAATTTAATTCTCATTTTACAGATGAAGAAACTAAGGCACCAGGAAGGTTATACAACTTTTCTGAAGATGCCCATTAATAAGTAGCAGAATTGGGATTTGAATTTAGTTCTGCCTGACTGCAAGGCCTGTTTTGCAGACAGCCTCCCCTCATTTTTCATAAAACGTTAACCTCGGCCTACAGTAGCATCACTATGTTTGTTTATGGGTTAGTGGAGCGAGACAAAGTTACGAAGCCTCTGCTCCATGGTGGGAAATAAGTGGAATGTGATTGTGTAAGAATGGGTTGTTGCTTGGACAGTGTCTGTCATTCCGAGAGATTGTTTTTGTTTCCCTCTTCAGCAGGGTATAAGTTTTGAAACTGGACTCAGTCTTGAGGTCTGAACCTTTTCTGTTATTAGTCACCTTGAAGCCAGGTGATTTTTGACTTTTTAGAAGTTATGCATTCAGAAGCCATGGCTGGATCATTTTAGAAAAGGATAGAGGGGAAGGGTTAGTTAAG